GACCACGGCACGACGCACCCCGACGCGACGAATGCGGCCAGGAATCAGCCTCGAGTCACTATTTCGGTGACGGCCGGCGAATCAGCTCTACCGTCGCCGATGCCGCTGAAGCCGCAGCGTCCGCCATGCTTTGACCCAAGTCAGCGGGGTGGTCCTACCGTTGAGGCGTGGCTTTTTACGTTGAACGTTTTCTTCAACGCGAACTACGTCTCGAAGGATACGGCGAAGATTCGCTACGCTGTGTCGTTGCTGCGAGGACCCGCCATGGACTGGTGGCGTGTCATCGTCACAAAGCCGGTGGACTACGCGACTCTACCGACACGGGAAGGACGAACCGGACCCTGGGCGCCGTCGTATTTCGTGGAGGTGCCCCAGTATCGCACATGGGACGCGTGGTGCGCAGGTCTGTGCGCTCGTTTCGAGCCAATTGCGGCTTCGATCGCGGCGCGACAGAGGCTCCGCACTTGGCGCCAACTCGGTTCCGTCCAAGACTACACGAGCGGGTTTCTGGCGCTATGCGAGCAAGTGGGTTATATGCACGAGAGCAAACGCATCGACCGCTACATCGGCGGCCTGAAGCAGGACATCGCTCAGGAAATCTAGCTTCGCGGCGTCACCGATTTCCAGGAGATTCTCGCCATGGCGGAGAAACTCGATTTCTTCCGCCGACCGAGACCGGGGTCCTACGGAAGCAGCAATTGGGGACATCGGCCTCGTGGGACGAACGAGGGCGCTACGATACGTGCCGTCGCTGCAAATGCCGCTGCCGCACCGTTCAAAGGGCGCTGCTTTGCGTGCAATCGGCCGGGACATCCTAAGAGCGAATGCCCGGAAAACGCTAAGGGAAAGGGGGAAGCTCAGCAGCAGAAACAGACCAAGCAGCAGGGAAACGCTGGGAGTCAGTAGCAGACGGGCCCTCTACTGACTGGTCATGCCGCTCGCCCGACCCAACCGACCCTCACCGAGTGATTGTGCCGGTTCACGCGATCGACCACACCCGGCCGAATAAGGAGGGTACTACGGTAGACAGCCCCATACTGCTTAGTGGGAAAATCGGGACGGGGTTAGTAAAAATCTTCGTGGACGGAGGGGCCAGCCACAGCGTTATCAACACTGCCACAGCACGAAAACTGCGACTGCCACTGGACAGATGCTTACCTGAGATCGACGCAAGACTGGTCGACGGCACGCCACTGGCGATACGGGAACGTGTGGACCGAGTTCGGATTCGATGCGGGGGTAACTTCTCGTTTAGCCAGGAAATGCTCGCAACGACCCTCGACGGAACCGACATTTTACTCGGCCATGATTGGCTGCGACGACACAACCCGCGAATCGCCTTACCTTGCTGGGGCTTGCCTGAGTCTTCGTCGGTGCGTGTCAACGCGATCACGATGAAACGCGCCGTAACGACAGGAGCTGACGTGTACGCGGTTGACATTCGGGAAGCCGAGGCAATAGACAAAGGAGGGGATTTACAGAAACTGCTAGCCGACGTACCGAGTGATCTGGCAGCACTGTTGAAGCAGTACAGTGACATATTCCCGGACGACCTACCGACGGGACTGCCACCTCAGCGACCGCACGACCACAGGATAGAACTAGAACCGGGGGCACAGCCGACAGTACAGCGACAGTTCCGACTGACCCAACCCAAACTGGACGAACTGAGGAAGCAGCTGGATTACCTGCTCGAGAAGGAGTTCGTTCGCCCTAGTTCGTCGCCCTTCGCAACACCGATACTGTTCACACCGAAAAAAGACGGGGGTTTTCGCATGTGCATAGACTACAGAGCACTGAACAGGGTTACCATAAAATCCCGTTACCCCATCCCACGAGCCGACGAACTGATCGACCAACTACGCACAGCCCGGGTTTTCTCGAAAATCGACCTTCGAGGAGGTTACCACCAGATTCGCGTCAACCCACCCGACTACCCTATGACAGCCTTCCGAATACGCTACGGATCCTTCGAATACACCGTCATGCCCTTCGGACTGACCAACGCCCTCGCCACTTTTCAAATGACCATGAACGAAGCCTTCCGCCCGCTTTTAGATAAGTGCGCCATCGTGTATTTAGACGTCATACTGATTTACAGCCCTGACAGAGCACAGCACTTACAGGACATCGAAGCAGTTTTTAAAATACTGAGTGAGAACCGCCTACTGACAAAAGCGTCTAAGTGTGAGTTTTTACAGGACCGACTGGAGTTTTTGGGACACATCATTTCAGGTGCAGGAGTGGAAATAGACCCGAAAAAGTCTGCGACGATTCAAGCATGGCACGCGCCGACCAACTTGACCGACTTGCAGAGTTTCCTGTGGTTCGTCAACTACGTGTGCCGGTTCGTCCCCGACATGGCGAAGCTGACTGCCCCGTTGACCGACCTGCTGAGGAAGGGGGTTGAGTACACGTGGGGGGAGAAAGAGCAGGCTGCCTTCTCGGCCCTCAAAAATATTTTGTGCTCACCGCCCGTGCTTCACATTGCAGATCCGCACCGTCCGTTCGAACTCGTCACCGACGCTAGCGACATCGCTGTGGGAGCAGTACTGTTGCAGAACTTCGGGAACGGCCTTCAGCCAATCGCGTACGAGTCTCGCAAACTTCACCCGCCCAAACGCAACTACCCGATACACGACCGCGAGATGTTGGCGATCGTGCACGCGTTCAAAGTGTGGCGATGTTACCTCACGGGAGCAGACGTGACAGTACGGACAGACCACCGATCTCTACAGTACCTTCGAGCCCAACCGAATCTCAACCCACGACAGATCCGCTGGTTGGACTATCTGGAGTCCAACTTCCACTACACGGTCACGTATAAAAAAAGCGCATCCAACATCGCCGACGCACTCACACGCCCCACCGCCCAATTCCACGCCATCCTACTCGCCCAAACCAACCTACTGTTAACAGGCCTATTTACCCACGGATACAGGACCGACCCATTTTTCATGACCGGAAATTCTCAGCAACTGGCAGAGGCCAGAGGAGTCTATTACGTAAAAACATGCACCAACCGCATCTGGGTACCCGCGTACTCGCTACTGAGGGAACTGTTACTGCAGGAGGCACACAACGGGATCACCTCGGGACATTTCGGGGTAGAAAAAACGGGACAGCAACTGCAGCGGTATTACTACTGGTCGGAGCTGTTGACCGACGTACAGCACCACGTGGGCTCGTGTCCTACGTGTCAGGTGATGAAGAGCTCGCGAAAAAGAAAGGCGGGTCAGTTGCAGCCGATTCCACCGCCTGAGCGCGCCTGGCAGCAGATTACCATGGATTTCGTCACAGGGTTACCTTCGAACCCTGGGGGTAACGACGCAGTTATGGTCGTCGTTGACAGGTTGACGAAGATGGCACACTTCGCTGCGTGCAAGAAATCGATCTCAGCCGAAGACGCTCGTCTGTTCATCGCAGCCGTCGTTCGACTGCACGGGATACCAGCCGCGATAATCAGCGACCGCGACACAAAGTTCACCAGCAATTTCTGGAAGAACCTCTGGGAGCAGTTCGGGACAAGGCTACAGTTCAGCTCGTTGTACCACCCCAAGACCGACGGTCAAACGGAGCGGACGAATCAGACGATGGAGTAGTTGATTCGTGCCACGTGCGACGACCCGACCACTTGGGAGCAGCAGCTGCCGCTGATCGAGTTCGCGTATAACAACGCCACGTCAGCGACGACGCAGCAGTCCCCTTTTGACCTGAACTACGGGCAAAACCCTACAGTGCCCATGACGCCGAGTCCGGACAACCCAACACCACGTGCACAGCAATTCGCTGAAATTCTGCAAGCTGCCCGCACCAGAGCCGCCGAAGCAATGAAAAAGGCCAATGTCATCGCTAAGCGCAACGCTGACCGCCACCGCCACCCAGTCACGTACCAGTCAGGGGATTACGTACTGCTCGACACACAGAACTTAAGACTGCCCGTCGTACCGAAATTACGACCCCGCTACTGTGGACCATTCCAAATCAGCCACATGATTACCCCGGTGACAGCTCACCTACTATTGCCGACGGACTGGTACATCAGCCCTTCGTTCCACGTCAGCCTGCTTCGCCCATACATCCCAACCACAAGCCAACTGCCTCGTCACCGCCCGCCATCCATGACTCGCCCTGCATCGGAGCCGATCATCGAACCCGAAAAAATTTTGAGCCATCGGATTCGACACCCCACGGGAATCAGGTAGATTGAATTCCTCGTTCGCTGGAAGGATCGCACGCCAACTGAAGATAGCTGGGTGCCCCTGGCCAACATAGAAAACCACCCTGCCCTGCAAGTGTACCTGAGGAGCCGGGGTTTCCGCGATATACACGCACTCGCGTAGCGGAGGGGGCTTCTTGAGAGGGGGGGTAGTATAAGGAATTTTCTCGACATTCCTTAGCGTGCCCTGCAACATCGATACAGCAGCAGCCGTTGTTCGCCCGTTACTGCTAACGGGGCTTTGCCGACTTCGCGCGCACTGTTTCACCAAACCTCGCACTGCTGGTCTGGCCGTGTCGGCCTACGCTTCGGGACTAGCCCGAGCCTCGTTTCCAGCATAGCACTAGCTAGCTCGCACGCACCGCGTTACCGTTTGCATGTTTCACGTATAAATGTTCGCTCATGCCTTCGCTCACATTTTGTACTCGTTTGACACCTTAGTGCAATTCTCGCTACTTCGATTCATTGCACCCGTAACAAAAACTCATAACAATGCTGGCTGTGCTTATCATGTGTTATGTTTGTTTTATCCCATGACCATCCATGCAAATGTCACATAATAATTGACGGGTCATTCACTCAAGGAACGGAACCCACTTCCTCACTCTCTCGTCATAAACCGTCCCTGGCCGATTCGTTCCATAGCGCCTCGCGGGAGCAATTGTAACGCATACTCTCCGCGCGCACGTGAGCTCAGGTGCTCCGCGCGCACGGGAGGTCAGGGCACACGCGAGCTCAGAGCGCAAGAGAGCTCGGCGCGCACGAGAGTCTAGCGCGCGCAATGGGGGGAAAGCAGCGTGGCGGCAAGGGGACAGCGGGCGGAGGGGAATCAGCTGCGGCGGGGACGACGCGGGAGAAGGCGCGGATGGCGGACGGTGCCGGGGAGAAGGGGCGCGCGGGGGGAGGCGCAGGGGAGAATGGTCGTGGCGGGGAAGGAGTGGGGGGAACGGGGCGGGCGGCGGAGGTGGCGGAGGTGGCGGTATCGCTGGGGGTGACGGGTCACGCGGGGCACCTCGAGATCATCGCCGTGGACCGCCACAGCTTCCCCCTCCACCCCCGCCTCGCCCCCCCGCCCTTCCTGCTCGTGCGCTCCTCCCCCTTCCGCTCCCCCTTTGGCCCCCCTTCCACCCACCCCACCTGGCCCCCCAGCGCTGCACGCATGTCCGCCTCTCCCCCTTTCGCTTCCCCATTGCTCCCCCCACTGCTCTCGTGCCCTCGTGCCGCCTTGCTCTCTTGCTGTGCAGCGTCCCTTACTTGTGTCACCTCCCGCCTATACCACAGCTCTCTCCACGCCATACCCCTCCACTCGGCCCTATCCTGTCAACATTCACAACCAGTCGTTCCATTTCCCAGACACGTCTTGCTTCATGCACTGCCTCTAAGGCCTCCCAAGCTCCTCTCCCCAAACTTGTGTTACGCCCAACCTCTCCATGCAGCCCAAGCCTCCCTTCCCCGAGCCTCTGGACGTTCGGGAGCTACCGGAGCTGTGCCCTCTGGCCGTGTGGGATGACGTGGAGCGCCAGCTGGCGGTGGAGCCGCAGGAAGACGCCATGTGGCAGTACGACTGGATGCCACGTGGCGCCCTGTCAGCCGTGACACCTGGCGGGCTGGGCAGCGTGCTGCAGCCAGCGTGGCACCCTCCCTGGGTGGAGGAATGGGGAGATGGGGTGTGGGGGGAGGTTGAGGGGGAGGGGAAGGGGATAGAGGAAAGGGAGGGCGTGGGTGAGGAGGAGGGAGGGGCGGTGAGGCGACCAGAGCTGGTGGACGAGGTGAGGTGCTGCCTGCCTGCCGCCCATATGCGTCCCGTCCGCTCTTTGGCCCCCCGTTTGCCTCTCTAGGCGCCCATAGTGACCTTTGTCTGTCTGTCCTCACCCATGTCTGTCCCCACCCATGTCTGTCCCCACCCATGTCTGTCCCCACCCATTTTGGTTTTGACCTCCCTTACCTTCGCACCTCCATCTTTGTCGGAAGCTCCTCGGCTCACTCACACACCTCTCCTCTTGCTTGCTTCTTCCTCTGATACTTACTGACTGACCTGTCCCCTTCTCCTTCTCCACCACCGCTAAGCATGTAACTGAATATGTCGTTCTTACCCTTATCTTCCGTGACACCTTCCCCGCACATATCTGGATCTCAACCCCTCCCCAATTAAACCTTTCCATCCCCCCTTCTCCTTCCCCTTTCCTCCCCTTCTCCCCAGCTGTTCTTCCCCCCGGGAGCGTACCTTGATGTCACCCATCCGCCTCTCTCCGCCCTGGAGCTCGTCCGTGACACCACTGCTGCTCAACCCCTCGCCCTCTCCTTCCTTCCCCCTCCCACCCCCCCGCCCTTCCCCCTTCGCCTTCCCCCCATCCCCAGCTGTTCTTCCCCCCGGGCACGTATCTTGATCTCACCCGCCCGCCCCCCTCCGCCCTAGAGCTCGTCCGTGGCACCACTGCTGGCGCCGCCCACCCCCTCGCCCTCTCCTCGCACCCACCTCCACACACTGCTGTTGCTGGGGGTGCAGCGGAGTTGCAGCACGGGGAGGGGCAGCAGGCGGGTGGGGGGAGAGGGGAGTCGGATGAAGCGCTAGTGGCGCTGTTTGCGTACTTGGAGAGAGGGGCGGAAGGGGGTGGGGGAGGGGGAGCAGCGCAAGGAGAGAAGAGGGGCGTTGGGGACTCGTTGCTACTGCTGAGTGTGCCGCCCGGGCTCACTGAGGGTGGACGATTCGAGGCCAGGGAGGAGGTGAGACATGGGTGGGTGGTTGGCGGGATGGGAGGTCTCTTCCTTTCTTGCGGCTTGCATGTGACTTTTGAGTCGATGTAACGAGGTGACTTTTGAGTCGATGTAACGAGGTGACTTTTGAGTCGATGTAACGAGGTGACTTTTGAGTCGATGTAACGAGGTGACTTTTGAGTCGATGTAACGAGGTGACTTTTGAGTCGACTCAAAAGTCATGGGTGGGTGGTTGGCGGGATGGGAGGTCTCTTCCTTTCTTGCGGCTTGCATGTGGTTTTCAACGCATGTCAGGAGAAATCTCGGGATTTACAAACAGGTGAAATGTCGCAACAATAGCGGTATGCCCGTTGTGCTGCTGATGTGTTGTTTAAGAGGTATTTTGAGTGAGCTCCCTGCCTGTTCTGTTTGATTGCCTTGCCTCCATCCCCCAGAGGGACATGCTGCCGCTCTCTCTGCTGCGCGCGCTGGCAACCCCCCCTAAGGACGTTTCAGAGGTGCCTCCGAAGGAGACACAGGGTGCGGGCTCTCTCCAACCCACCCACCCCACCCAACCCCATCCCACCCCCAGAGGGACATGCTGCCGCTCTCGCTGCTGCGCGCGCTGGCCACCCCCCCAAAGGAGTCTCAGAGGTGCCTCCTGAGGAGGCGCAGGTTGCGGGCACTGGAGGGGCAGCAGGGAGCGGCGCTGCTGGTGTGGAGGGGGGAGAAGGGGGAGAGGGAGAGGCTGAAGGGGAGGCTGGGGGTGGGCAGGGGGGAGGAGAGGGGGAGAGCGGGAAGCTTGGGTTCGCAGATGTGTTTCAAACGGCGTGGGGTGCTGGGGGGGATGAAGAGGAGGAAGAGGAGGAGGACGAGGAGGAGGATGGAGAGGAGGAGGAGGGAGAGAAAGAGGGAGAAGGGGAGGAAGGGAAGGGGGTGGTGGGAGGAGGAATGGGCGCCGGAGAAATGGTTTCCTCTGCAGGTGCGTGGTAGCGGCAGGACACACAGCTCACACAGGGCACATACATTCATCCATGAAGCTGATTGGCCGCTTTGCACGGAAGTCCCACGCACGCATTCAAGTTGCAGCTGCAGCAATGGCTAGTCGTGAGCCTTTAGCCATGCATTCAAGCCTTTGTCGTCTCAATCTCCGATGTGTTGTGCCATGCATTCAGGCCTTTAGCCCTGCCAAAGGCGCGTCGTTTGTCCTGTGCAGCCGTCCATTACCGCTCCATCTGATGCCATCCCGATTCCTCTCTCCGCTCCCCCGTTCTTCCCTCCCTCCCACCCACCCCTCACAGCCACCGCACGGCCGTCACCACAGGGCAAGCGCGGTGAGAGGAAGAGCGGGGCGGCAGCAGCAGTGGATGCGCTGCTGGGGGCGGGCAGGGGGGCGTTTGGCAGCCTCGAGTGGTGGACTGCTGGCTCGGGCCTGGGGCTGCTGGGTGCTGCGCCGTCTGCTTCCCGCCCTGCTGCTTCCAAGGAAGTAATCCTTCTTCTGCCGCTTCTGCTTTGCTGCTGCTGCTGCTTTGGTTTCAGAAGTGCCGGTTCATGCACCGTGCCACATGATACTGTTTCTTCATTTCTGTAAGTTGCCCCATCCCTAATGCCACACCAAACCATGCACCCCCAGGGGAAGGGGTGGAAGTGGCCGGTGAGACGCACAGAGCTACCACACGCATTCCTCTTACCTCCTCCTCCCGTTCTTTACCCGGGCCACGCATCTATCGTACCTTGCATCTCACCAGGGCCACGCATGGGCGTGGGCGGTGACAAACGGCATACCGGATCTGGACCGTGAGTTGGCCACCATGGAGCCCACTTCTGAGGCGCGTCAGATCAGAAGTCGAGCCCACTTCTGAGGCGCGTCAGATCAGAAGTCGAGCCCACTTCTGAGGCGCGTCAGATCAGAAGTCGAGCCCACTTCTGAGGCGCGTCAGATCAGAAGTCGAGCCCACTTCTGAGGCGCGTCAGATCAGAAGTCGAGCCCACTTCTGAGGCGCGTCAGATCAGAAGTCGAGCCCACTTCTGAGGCGCGTCAGATCAGAAGTCGAGCCCACTTCTGAGGCGCGTCAGATCAGAAGTCGCGCCCGACAGAAACACACAGTGCACCGTCCCTCCTCCTCTTTTCCTCCCCCCTCTCTCTCCCCCCGCTCCCCCCAGGGCCATGCATGGGCGTGGGCAGTGACAGACGGCATACCGGATCTGGACCGAGAGTTCGCCACCATCGAGCCCGACATGGCCATGACCTTCCCTTTCCAGCTTGACACCTTCCAGAAAGAGGTGCGGACATAGTGAGCAGTGAGCAGCATGTAGGTGCCGTGAGTGACTTGTATAGCGTTCATCAGACCAAACACCACGATCCCCACATGGCCATGACCTTCCCCTTCCACCTCGACACCTTCCAGAAAGAGGTGGGACATAACTAACAACATGTAGGTGCCATGGCATAGGGAGCACACCATGTAGGTGCCGTGACCTGTAGACTGTAGTATAGCTCTCATCGGACCACCACCATCCAGCCCCACATGGCCATGACCACCACCATCCAGCCCCACATGGCCATGACCACTCTCTGTCTCCTCTTCTCTTTTCGTGCTCCGTGCCTCTTGTGCCCACCCATGCACCACCCATGCACCGCCCATGCACCGCCCATGCACCGCCCATGCACCGCCCATGCACCGCCCATGCACCGCCCATGCACCGCCCATGCACCGCCCATGCACCGCCCATGCACCCCCATGCACCGCCCATGCACCGCCCATGCACCGCCCATGCACCGCCCATGCACCGCCCATGCACCGCCCATGCACCGCCCATGCACCGCCCATGCACCGCCCATGCACCGCCCATGCACCGCCCATGCACCCCCATGCACCGCCCATGCACCGCCCATGCACCGCCCATGCACCCCCATGCACCGCCCATGCACCGCCCATGCACCGCCCATGCACCGCCCATGCACCGCCCATGCACCGCCCATGCACCGCCCATGCACCGCCCATGCACCACCCATGCACCGCCCATGCACCGCCCATGCACCGCCCATGCACCGCCCATACCCCGGCAGGCCATAATCCATTTGGAGCGCCACGAGTCGGTGTTTGTGGCGGCGCACACCTCAGCGGGCAAGACAGTCGTGGCCGAATACGCCTTCGCCCTCGCTGCCAAGGTGAGTGCCCTGCTGCTCCTGCTTTGTTGCACAGCACAGCTTGCTGCCAAGGTGCGTGCCCTGCTGCTCCTGCTTTGTTGCACAGCACAGCTTGCTGCCAAGGTGCGTGCCCTGCTGCTCCTGCTTTGCTGCGCAGCACAGCTTGCTGCCACGGTGCTTGCTTGGTGACTTGTGAGTCGCTTCAAAGGCACACACGTCAGCCAGCAAGACAGTCGTGGCCGAATACGCCTTCGCCCTCGCTGCCAAGGTGAGTGCTGCACTGCATATGCTTGCTGCCCACACAGCCATGCCTCTTGCTTGCCGTGAATTGTGCCCGAGTGCACCATGCTCCCCATGGCTTGAACCTTTCATTTCTTCACTCGTCCCCTCACTCGAATGCCATCAACAATTACACCCCCCCCTGCAATCACCTAAATTCCTTCCTCCCCACCTCCCTCCCCTCGCCCCCCCGCCACCAGCACTGCACGCGGGCAGTGTACACGTCGCCCATCAAGGCCATCAGCAACCAGAAGTTCCGTGACTTCAGCAAGCGGTTCGACGTGGGGCTGCTGACGGGCGACCTCAGTGTGCGCCCCGAGGCCGCCTGCCTCATCATGACCACCGAGATCCTGCGCTCCATGCTTTATCGGGCTGCTGACATCATCAAAGACATCGAATGGGTTTGTGCACATGCATTTGTGTGAGCGTGGGTGTGTTGGTGTCATGTGATGTGTGTGCGAGTGTGCGCCCCGAGCGTGCTTGCGTCATCATGACCAGACCACAGAGATCCTGCGCTCCATGCTGTACCGCTCTGCTGACATCATTAAGGACATTGAATGGGTGCGTGCTGTTTGTACTTTGAGTCGACTCAAAACACTACATGTTTCACACACACGTGCAAGTGTTCAAGTGCTGTTTCACGACAAGGAACCATGCAGCCCATATGTTGTGTGTCTCGTGCCGCAACCGCTCTTAACCCCTCTCAACACATGCAGGTGGTGTTTGACGAGGTGCACTATGTGAACGACATAAAGCCATGCACCCCTTGTGTTGTGTTCCTCATGCCTCAACCGCTCTAACTGCCCTCAACCGCACTCAACACGTGCAGGTGGTGTTTGACGAGGTGCACTATGTGAACGACATGGAGCGCGGGGTGGTGTGGGAGGAGGTTATCATCATGCTGCCTCCCCACGTGGGCCTCATCATGCTCTCCGCCACTGTCAGTTGCCCTCCCGTGCACCCAACCCTGCCTGCACCATCATCATGCATCATGCACAGCACCATACCTCATCATCATGCACCATGCACAGTACCACACCTCATCATCATGCACCATGCACAGTACCACACCTCATCATCATGCCGCCGCCCCACATGGTGCTCGTCACGCTCATCTATCTCTCTGCCACTGTGCGTGCACCATGCATCATGCACCACACTCCATTCACCATGCAGCATGCACCACACTCCATTCACCATGCATCATGCACCACACTCCATTCACCATGCAGCATGCACCACACTCCACTCACCATGCAGCATGCACCACACTCCATTCACCATGCATCATGCATCATGCACCACACTCCATTCACCATGCAGCATGCACCACACTCCATTCACCATGCATCATGCATCATGCACCACACTCCATTCACCATGCATCATGCACCACACTCCATTCACCATGCAGCATGCACCACACTCCACTCACCATGCAGCATGCACCACACTCCATTCACCATGCATCATGCATCATGCACCACACTCCATTCACCATGCAGCATGCACCACACTCCATTCACCATGCATCATGCATCATGCACCACACTCCATTCACCATGCATCATGCACCACACTCCATTCACCATGCAGCATGCACCACACTCCACTCACCATGCAGCATGCACCACACTCCATTCACCATGCATCATGCATCATGCACCACACTCCATTCACCATGCAGCATGCACCACACTCCATTCACCATGCATCATGCATCATGCACCACACTCCATTCACCATGCATCATGCACCACACTCCATTCACCATGCATCATGCACCACACTCCATTCACCATGCAGCATGCACCACACTCCACTCACCATGCAGCATGCACCACACGTACATGACACAAAGACATGCACCGTGCATCATACGGCATGTTGTGGGAGCAGAGCAGTCATGCGCGTGACGTGGTCACAGTAGCGGGCTCCCTTTCCCCTTCGCCCCTCGCCCACAGGTACCCAACACCACAGAGTTTGCGGATTGGATCGGCAGAACCAAGAGGAAGAAGATTTTCGTCACAGGGTGGGTGGCAATCAGGGTGGGTGGCATGGGATGGGTTTGCTGGGTGGGTCCCTGCCTGCCTAAAGCACTCTCCTCACTTGTCGTCCGTGCTCTTCCAAGCCACATGCCATATTCCTTGTATCCACCCTCCCTCTCTGTCTACTCAACATTCATCTTCCATACGCCATACCAGTCCTAATTGAACCACGTTCCTTCCTTCCCCCTCGCCTCCTTCATCCTCCTCTCCCTACCCCTCTCCGCCCCCTCCTTTCCCTCCTGCCCCCTTCCCCCTCACCACACGGCTCCCAGTGGCCTTGGAGCACAGCAGCTACTACGCAAGACAACTGCACTGTATTGTCCCACCCCTTTCAATCCCTTTGCACCTTCAACAACTCCCATCAAAACCCCCCTTCCCCCTCCCCTTCCCCCCAGCACCACGCGGCGTCCAGTGCCCTTGGAGCACAACATCTACTACTGCGGTCAACTGCACCGCATCTGCGACCTTGGGGACATGGACAGCAGTGACTGTCCATCTGTGTCCACACGCCTCCCCTCTTACCCCCACTTGCCCCCCCTCCCCTCACCACCACGCGGCGTCCAGTCCCCTTGGAGCACAGCACAACATATACTACGGCGGTCGCCTGCACTGCATCTTTGCTCCTTACTGATTCCTTCTTTTGCCTCCCCTCCTCCATTCCCCAGCACCACGCGGCGTCCAGTGCCCTTGGAGCACAACATCTACTACTGGGGGCGTCTGCACTACATCTCCTGACTACCCCTTTACACCTGTTTCAATCCCTTCCCTTTCCCCCAGCACCACGCGTCGCCCAGTGCCCTTGGAGCACAACATCTACTACGGCGGGCGCCTGCACCGCATCTTTGACCGCGGGGACATCGACAGCACCGCTCTGCGCGCCGTGCACGCCGCACACAAGGCCAAGCACGCCCCCCCCGCGCAGCAGGCTGGAGGAGCCGGGCGAGGGGGCGGAGGGAGAGGAGGAAGGGGAGCAGTCGGGCATGGGGGACTGCAGGGGAGAGGCGGGCAGGCGGGGCGGGGCGGCAGAGGAGGGGGAGGAGGGAGAGGGGGAGGGGGAGGAGGAGGAGGGGGAGGGGGGAGAGGGCGTGGGGCAGGGATGGCAGCGGCGGGGAGGGCGATAGCGGCGGCGATGGGGGGAGGGGGAGGGGATCGGTACCGGCGGTCGATGGCGACTGAGTGGATGCAGTTTGTCAACCTGCTCGGCAAACAGGAGCTGCTTCCTGTACGTCCGGCCCCCCTCCCCTCCCTTGATTCTCACCCCGTCCTCTCATGGTCCAGTCTCAGTTTCGGCAGTCGATGGCAACGGAATGGATGCAGTTTGTGAACCTGCTCGGCAAACAGGAGCTTCTCCCTGTGCATTGCTCTCCCCTCCTCATTTTCCTTGAAGTGATAGTTCCTCTGTTGTCTTTTATTCCCACGACTTGCTCTCCTGTTCTGTCCTCTCGTGACGCATGGTTTTGTCTCATAGTATTTACACCCACCCTTCCTTCCATGCCCAGGAGCTAGCATTCTGCTTCTGCGACGAGTAATTGCCCTAACGAGCAAGAACTCTCGCCCACCCCTTCCCACAAACGGTGGCCCCCTCCACTCTGTGCCGTGCTCAGGTGGTGGTGTTCTGCTTCTCCAAGCGGCGTTGTGACGAGTCAGCGGACAGTCTGACCTCAGTGGACCTCACGTCAAAGAGTGACAAGAGCACCATCGTCATGTTCTGTAACTCCGCCTTCGCACGCCTTAAGGGCTCTGATAGGCACCTGCCACAGGTGCGGTTGAGTTCAGTGCGGTTGGTGTAGGTGGAATGGGTGCAATGTGGTTGGGTG